AAGCCGTTGTATCACCTGGATTGCCGCCATCAGATGGAACCTCAGCCCCTGCAGCCAAAGGACGGCTTCAACATTCATCAAGACCTCCCGGAAGTGGCCGACCTCCCACCGAAGTGTGAGCGGCTGTGTGGTGACTTATCGGCATCTGCTGGCAGGTCGTCAGACTCAGATTCAGCGTCGTTGGGCGACGACGAATGGAGCCCACCGCCTTCTCCTCTACCACCCGGCCCTCGTTCTTCCTTCCCCGACTTCAGATCTTTTCAGGAAGTCCTTGATGCATTTCCCCCCTATCCATCTACGACATACATCCCACCCCATCCGCCCTCAGCATTCCCACCACCACCCCCATTCGAGGGCCCATTCCAGGGACCATTCCAGGGACCATTCCAGGGACCATTCGAGGGTCCATTCGAGGGTCCATTCGCGGGCCCATCATCGCCATACCCGCCTCCTCGGATGATTCCATGCAGCCACTGTCCCCGCATGCATCCTTACATGCCACATTCAAGGGATGCCTTTCTGACTTGGTGTATTCACTGCGCGACTTATCATCCGATTCGGGCTGGTGATTTACCCCCAGGACTAAGTACTGGACCAGACGCGACCGGCCCTTGGGGTTATCCAGACCAGACGCGGTCAAGTGGCCATCGTCATAGTCGTAGGCGTAGTCGTAGGCACGGTCATGGCCACCGCAGACATGGCCATCACAGTCATGGCCACCGTCGCCGTTACGATGACTAAAAGCTCACGATACTGTAAGGCTTGGGGTTTCGAGATCGGACGAGGCGCCAATTTGATAGAAATCTAGGTTTTCTCATTGACTCTGTGGTACTGTACCCACTCCCTAATATACTGCTGATGGAAATACAACTGTAATAGCCCTCGTCCGTGAATGTGAGTACCCCCACCGTATGCCCTATGATATTTTCACCGCCTTACGAAGTATAGCTCTTCCCATACCTATGAAAGTCCTCAAGCCGCAAGCTCGCACAGCGCCCCACGACGCCACGTGGTTGGGCGTCCCTACCGTGTGGACGCCGTGACCCCGAGGGCGCCACAAACCCCAAAGAAGCACCCAGTAACGACGCGAGAAATCGCCTTGCGACGGTTCCCCTCCCGCCACACGACACAGCCCTCCACCAAGCCGGTGTAGGGGAGGGTCATGAGAACGCAGTCGACGGCGGCGTACCAGCGCCGATAATAGAACATGACCACGAGAGCGCCGAGCATGGTCGTCCGCGACCCGAAGATAATCATGGGAGGCGCAGCCGCAGGCGATGCGGCCACGTCCGCCGAGAAGCCCAGCTCCAGCATCGCCCGCCGGCTGCTGAAGTACGGGATCAGGCCCCCGAGCGTCAGCGCGGTGCCGGCGATCACGGCGGGGATGTGGTGGAGTGGCAATTGCAGGCCTGGGAGTGAACGGAGGGGCGGTGATGTAGGCATGGTGCGATAAGGTCGGTGTTCCGGTTTTGATGCTGGCGGACTTGGGGGGAAGAGTAAAGTAGGTAAGTAGGTAGGTAGGTAAGGTAGGTTCGCGAAAAAAGACAGAAGGAAGAACGATTGTTGTTGTTGGCCCATCACGCGGCCTGTTAGGCCAGCCAGCCCAACCAACCGCCGCCTTCTACTTACCCACCCTGTATGTAGGCAGGGGTAGGTACTTTAGCTAGGATCCGTCGGAAGCCACACGCGAAGAAGCAAGGGATGCACCAACTACTGTGGAACGCAAGGCGAACCAACAAGAACAAGGACTCGGGATTATTATAGGTAGTCCTCAGCCACCGCGAACCGCCAGCTCTATGGGAATACACTGACCAGCGCCTCGCCGTACGCCGCGTACGACGAGCCCATCTTCTCGATATCGTAGTCGTTCCAGTACCCGCCCCCCGCGAGCTCGCCCTCCCGGTCCCAGCCGGCGAACCTGGACTCGGCCTGCGCCGGGGTGGTGCCGTACGACGGCTTGGAGTCGTTGGTGACCCAGACCAGGGGCACGACCTTCATGCCCAGGGTGCGCTGCCAGCCCGCGGGGTCGTTGCCGGCCCCGCCGTCGTAGCACTGGAGGTAGACGCGGTCGAGGAGGCGGTCGGCCGCGTCCGTCGCGCCCGCGTTCAGCTGCGCGGTCACCGACGCCCAGAACTGCGCGTTGGTGTACGGCGCCGTCGTGTAGCGGTACCCGACGGCGCCGAGCATCCGCGCGAACGCCACGGTGCTGCCGACGTCGTAGACGGCCTCGTCGTCGTTGTTGACGGCGTCCAGGCCCCACGCCGCCCGCAGCGCCGCGAAGTTGCGGTACAGGTTCGTGGCGTTCCCGGGTCCCGGGCTGTCCATCAGCTCCGCCACGTGCTGCGCGTTCATCGAGACCTCGACGCGGTCGATGCCCGTGCCCGCGCCGGTCTTGAACGACGTCACCTTGGCCGCGAGGGCGTCGCCCCCGACGTAGGACCCGTTGCTGGCGAGGAGCACGTCGCTGGTCCCCGCCGTGTTCGAGTAGTACATGATGTCGCCGTTCTCGAGTATACCCACGCCGAAGATGATGACCGAGTTGAAGCCCGCCGTCATCAGCGACTCCGTGTCCGACTTCAGCACGTCCTTGAACAGGTAGATGGCCCGGATGTCCGATGCTGCCGCCACGTGCTGGATCAAGAGCTCCCACAGGAGCGCTCCCAGCAGTGTATGGAATTTCATCTTTGCGAGCCTCTGGGATATGCTCCTAGCAGCTGGCGACTTAGTAGCACAGGAAGATTAATGTCGGGGGCGAGTGAGGCGTGTGCATGGACTTCTCATGAAGCCATGAGCTGGGACTCACGATGGTTGCAGCCATCGACATTAAAATACTCAGGATCGACAGACCATGGCCTGGTCCAGATCACGCGGGGCATTGACACGACTGGTTCTGAGGGTAGCATCGCCCACCGGGGAAAGAAGTTGGTACGTTACATAGTACAGTGAGCTGTTTCCTGCCTTTGCCCAGTTCTCGCGACTTGGCAGCGGGTAAATGCCTCTCTTCACTGGGACCAGAAGTCGGTCGACAGTGGTCCAGTCATGCCAACTTCTTCCTATATTGCCCCGGGAGTATGTCCAAGCGTCACCGCCAGTGTACATAGAGATTGATGTCCAGGAGCTGTTTGCAATTTGGTCAAATATAAGACTCCGGGAAACATGAACACGCCATGAAAAAAGCAGTTATTGCATAGTTGTGATGCCATGACATTCTGAGAAGGCATTGAACATAAAAGCGGGTGGCCACCTGCGGCGTTGTCAGCGTCACTGATTCCATGGCAAGTTAGACACGGGCGTGGATGGATCGCGGGATTGGTGATTCGAGATGTACATGTTGCTTCCTCTGCCAGAGCTAGACATCTCGTGTCTTGGGTGTCTATGCGACAAAGTGATCTCCGTCTCAGTAAGCCGTCATCCTAAACCACAACACTACGATGGAGATCGTCTTGTTGGTGCGTAGAATAGCTTCTAGATTCGGAGCGATTGCACTACGTCCTTCCGCCCAATGACGTCACAGCAGTAAATGCATGTCATCTCACAGAATGCGGAGACGAGGGTTCTAAACTTCAAGACGTCCTCCGCCAGAGCCCGAGACTTCGTGAAAAAACCGTACGAGCTGGGTATATCGGGTACGGCTACTCACCATCAGTACGATCAACTTAGAAGGCAATGCAAGCTGACATCCCGAGCCCAGAGCCGCAATGGAGCACGATCCGAAGAAGCCGATCCACTCGGGCCCCGGAGATTCCTGGCACGGCACGGTAGCCCCCGGAGGTCGGTTTGCGCCCGAAGCCGTGCGGTACCACCTGTACATCGGGCTGATCTGTCCGTTCGCGCACCGCGTGAACCTCGTGCGCAGCTGGAAGACGCGATTCCGGTGTCGATCGTGAAGGCGTATCTATCCTAAGGGCGACGACAAGGGGTGGCCGGGCTGGCAGTTCCCGGAGCTCGAGGACAGGTACGCGGGCTCGACGCCGGACACGCTGTTCGGCTCCCGGTACCTGCACGAGGTGTACTTCAAAGCGGACGCGGCGTGCCCCTCCTCTGGGACACCAAGAAGGGTACGAGCGTGAGCAACGAGAGCCTGGCAGCCTGGAAACTCCTCCGCTGCCTGCCGACGGGATTCAACGCCATCCTGCCGGAGGGCAGTGCGGCGAGACGGTTGGACCTGTACCCGCGCACCTCGGCGCCAAGATCGACGAGGTCGGCGGGGGGATGGCCCGGGACCTCAACACGGGGGTGTACAAGGCGGGACAGGCGGCGTACGAGGAGGGCGTGGTCGCGGTCTTCGCGGCGCTCAACCAGCTAGAGGCGCTGGTCCGCTCGCGCGGCGGGCCCTACGTGCTCGGGGCGCCGCTGACGGAGCTGGACGCGCGCGGGAGCTACCCCGTGCTCCACGAGTGGCTGAAGAACCTGTACTGGAACGTCGCCGGGTTCCGCGAGACCACCGACTTCCGGTACATTGAAGAAAGTGTTGAGTGTTCTTGGTCCGCTTCTTTCGTCGAGTAGGCTTGCTAAGGTCGGTGCAGTACACGAAGAGCCATGACGAGATCAACCCCCTGGCCATCACACCCCTCGGCCCCTATCCAGATATCGAGAGCGGGGTGAATCTCGACTTCGCGAACATCGAGCCCGGGGTCGTCAGACACCCTGCTGTGGTCGCATACCAAGAAACTCTTCCAGCGATCTGATCAGACCGGGGAGCACATGATATCCTCGTTAGGTCGACGAAGGGCCGAAGGGCACAGAGCTATGTCGACCTCGATCCAACCTTTTGCGTTAAACGAAGATTGAATCATTAGGTTATTCGATTGAACGCGCTGGCATGCCACAGTGCGCTTCTGAATGGCGACTTGGGCACCGGTAAAAAGTTCGAATTGAGATGAACCGCATCTGGCTTTCGCGGAATCCTGTCAGTGATCGTACCTTTGGGAAAATGCGCAGTTGTGGGGAAGAAAAATAAAAAAAACACTTGAGAACTGTGAGAAGGAAAAATGAAACCTTGCTCAGTATGAGGATTGAACTCATGACCTTCGCATTACATGATATTTCACAGGGTGAGATATTAGTACGACGCTCTAACCAGCTGAGCTAACCGAGCGATGATCCAGCTACTGTGGTAGCTAGTCGGTTGATTGGCTGATGGTTTCAATGTGATGAGTCGGCACTTTGTGCAGCTATATCATAGCTTTCCCAAAAGAGCGGAGTCACTCGAAAACCCCGCGAACCCCGCCAGCGGTGGCAGTCCATTCGTGGTGCCGATGGATGAGTAAGGCGACTGGCTTGGTGGGAGTTTCTTCGGCTGCTCGAGAGCATGGTTCACTAATTGGTGAATTGGCGCGATCCCGACACTGAACTGTCATCCGTTAAGGTAGGTTGGTTTCCGAGCCGAACCTTCCAACTAAGAAATACTAGGTTTGGGGCTGATGAATGGCTGACGAGCGAGTCTGATTGTTCTGACGCCATTGCTAACCCAGGATTTCGACCACGAGCCGCGTTCTCATCGGTTCACGGAGAGCAGTCCGATTCCAGAGCAATTGAATTCATTCGGCTCTCAGATGAAGAATGTCCAAGCGATGCCGAGCCCTGGGGGTGGGACCGTAGTTTGACGTCAAAACGACCGGTCCGAGTCCGCCTGTTGAGCCTCCAAGCACCCAAGCCATTGAATTTTTTTGGAGCCGCCTCGACATCGCTCTTGTCGCTAGTCCGACTTCTAGGGCAAGATTCAACTCCTTGCCTCCGGGCTGCCCTGGAGCTAGTTGGATTAATCAGTCTGACGCCGGCAGTCCGTCCGGAAGTTTACATATTCCATCAAGCCATGCTGGTTCGGCCGGACCGCACGGGCCAGCAATGGCATCTGGCTTTGCGGGCCTTCTGTGGACTGTCACGTAAACATTACCCAACACAATCAAATTTTACGAGGCGCGAGGGAAGAGAGGCGAGCGGCGAGGCTGGAGACGGAGCACGCGATGAGCACGGATGAGCGAAGACCCTGATCCGCAGTCGAAGGGGGCAAACCTCCTCCACGCGATGCAGCTGGTACCCGAGCGGCCGGGAAAGCCGTGAGAACGACGAGACGACGCGGGAACTGCCAGCCTCCAGGAGTCCAGGCCCGTTACGGCAAGTAGCTAACCAACAGAGTTGGGACTGTTCCAGCCACGAGTGAACAACCGGGACAGTCGGAGTACCATGGATCGCTTGAGTCAACCACACGACCCTGTCTCCAGTCAAGCCAAGTTCACAATTTGCCCACGGCGGGCCTGGGGCGACACGCGCCGTGCACCATTCGTCAGTCTCCAGGGTTTTCCAACTCGCGAACCAATTTCCAAGCTCGAGGTCCGATTGCGGAACGTCGTGGTGTCCTTTGAAGAATTGTTGGTCTGGCGTTGACGTCTTTCCCCCTTCTTCTCCAAGACCCTTGCTTTGGAAGTGTTCTGCTGCCGTTTGTGAAGCTTCATCCGCTCGCTTCTAAACGACCGTCGCGAAACCCCCTCCCAGCCTGTTGCCCGTTGCAATGGCATCGCCCGCTTACGACTCCGATTCGATATCGCCCGAGCTGCCGCCAACCGAGAAGCCGCTCAGCAATGAAGCCTCGCCCAAGGATGCCGGCCCGCCCAGTTTCGCGCAAGAAGATGCCTCGGGTTCGGATATCAACTTCCACAGCTTGGAGTGGTGGTAGGTTTCTTGTATCCGCGAGCGCAAGGCCTTTCCGAAGCTGACTCCTGCCAGGCAAGCCAGCTTGGTCATGATTGCTGAGACCATCTCATTGGGTATTCTCAGCTTGCCATCCGTCGTGGCTATCCTTGGACTCGTACCTGGAATCATCCTTATCGTCTTCCTCGGCATTCTCTCGACCTACTCGGGTCTGGTCATGGGAGAATTCAAGCTCGCGTATCCATGGGTTCAGAACTTTGGTGATGCCGGCGAGGTCTTTGGCAGATCCATTGGCATGGGCCGAGCTTTCCAGGAGTTCTTTGGCTGGGCGCAGACCATCTTCCAAATCTTCGTCATGGGCAGTCACCTGCTCACCTGGACCATTTGCATGAACACCCTCACCGGCGGCTCAACATGTACAATTGTATGGGCTGTCGTGGGGTTGGCCATATCCTGGGTGCTAAACGTTCCTCGAACGTTGAAGTATGCCAGCTACATGTCCATCCTTTGTACGTCATCCTCTTCTCCTCCTAATGACCGCTGGTTGCTAACGCGCCTCAGCTTTCCTCTCCATTTTCGTGGCTGTTCTCATGACCATCATTGACGTCGGGATCGAGCGCCCTATCGGCAACACTCCGTTCGATATCTTCCGCCCGGTCGGTTTCACAACAGCTTTCCTGTCCGTCACGAATATCGCCGTCGCCTTCTCTGGCCATTCCGCTTTCTTCAGCATCATGTCGGAGCTCAAGAGGCCCGAGGACTGGCCCAAGGCCCTCTCCCTCCTTCAGATCTGTGACACGACCATCTACATCGTCGCTGCCGTCGTCATCTACATCTACGTCGGACCCGATTCGCCGTCTCCCGCTCTGACGGCTGCCGGCTCCGTCACGATTCGCAAGGCCATCTGGGGCGTCGCCATCCCCACCATCATCATCGCGGGTGTCATCTATGCGCATGTATGTGCGCAGTACATCTTCGTCAGGGTCTTCCGGAACACAAGACACCTCGAGAAGCGCACAGTAGTTGGAACAGCAGGATGGCTGGGGATCACGGCTGCCGTATGGATCATTGCCTTCATTATTGCCGAGTCGATCCCGGTCTTCAGCAGTCTCCTGGGCTTGATCTGCGCGCTGTTTGCGACCTGGTTCAGCTACGGTATCCCCGGAGCAGCATGGCTGTACATGCATCACGGAGCATGGTTTGCGGATACGAAGCGGACCATCAAGTTCGCATCCAACGTGGTTCTTTTCTTGACAGGTCTGGCTATTTGCATCCTTGGCCTGTGGAGTTCCGCTGAGGCCATTCACAATGAGACGGCCACGGAGGCTTGGTCTTGCAAGAGTAACGCGTAAAGAATAAACATACTGAATATTATTATGAATCATCAGATACCCTCTTTCCGCCGTCTCGCTTGCTCGAATATCACGCACCCGACCGGGAGGCCTATATTCTTACATCGCATTCAGTGTGGTCACACGGACATTTGATTGTGGCCGAAGTTCTTCTCTACACGAGCCTTGCTGATTGATTCTGAGCTCGGACGGTTAATCTGGTGACACAAAGCCACGCAGAACAGGACGCAACAAAGCAAACGTTTTCATCCCATTGTCATTCAAGCAGTTTCCAGATCAGTCAGGTGCCCTGCTTGAGAGTCAACATGACAACCCGCGAAACCATTGCATTGTTGAGCCATGACCTCTCGGTTCTCGATGGCCTCGGTGTCTTTAGTATAAGTACCTTGTACGGGACTGCATGGCGTTCACACCGACCTCCGCTTTCAGAGCAAGCAGACAACCCTCGCCATGTCGCAGAACAGGATAGATGACATTTATGCACCCAACTGGCTCCCCTTTTTCAGCCCCGAAGGCAACCTCGTGGAGGGTGTCTCCCTTCATGTGGACTGCCAGATATGCGGCGTCAAGGAACTGGCGATAGTGCAACCCCCCGACGACGACCACGAGGAATACGTCGTTCTTCCCTGCGGTCATGCATTCGGCTTCGCGTGTGTCAACCTTTGGCTGAATGGTCCGAACGGTCACCCTTCCTGCCCGGCTTGTCGGAAGCCCGTGCGGCACGGGTGCTCACATGGCGTTCTCCGCGCCCTGAAACCCGCTGATGGGTTCAACATCCATCGCGAGATCCCGGACATCGCTGGCGCAGCTGAATCACTGCCTCGGCAATGCGCCCGCTGTGATACTATTGCATCTATACAGCAACGTTTGTCCGCGCAGGCCCTCTCGTCTCCGATAATTTCACGAGGATCACAACGGCCAGACGACATCGGACACTCCACAAACGTCCGATCCGCCGCTTTACCCGCCTCCGAAGAAGATATGTCGCGGCCTCGTCCAGGAACGCAGCCTACGTCGCTACGGGAGCTTCCGCAAATATCCCCAGCACCCACCACAGCGTCGTCATCGCCGGCGGCAAACGATACACCGAACTCGGCATCTCGCCCCGGAACCAACCAGTCTGTTTATCGCATTGACAGGACCATGCGATCCCCAGCTATGCTGCGGCGTCCGCCAACACCGCCACCGCCGTCGCTGCGGAGCCTGTTACGTGAATATGTGCTACATATATATTGCTACGAGTGTAGACAATATCATCGACTGCGGCGACCCTATGATCATTCTGCTGGGTTTTCACCAAGCTACTGCCCTCATTGCCGAGGCTACCACCGAGTCTGTAAGCTCGAGGGGCACGAGGACCGCGAAGACTTGTGGGTGCTGGGGCTGGTGGAAATCCCTGGCCCTGAGCCCATCCACGGAGACCACGAATGCGGCTGGGCCTACCGGAACCGATTTCGCCGGAATGTTAGTGGTTAGGTAGTCTGACGGGCGGTTGAAGTATCCCCCGATAACATCTTTCTGTGGAGGAATAGCCATGGCCTCCTCAGCTCTGGTACTATCGTACAGGGACCAGCGTGTGGTGTTCTGGCACTTGGGTGGGCTATCACATCGATGTACTCCCAGCAAGTCACGCGTTCCGCCTCAGCCCCTATCTAGCTAGAACCTGCAACTGTTGGCGAACCGGACATGGATAGATAGCCGCCTAGTCAGTTGTGAGGACGTCGTTTAGCCAGTCCTTGATGACACCACAATGAGTCACGTACCAGTAAAATCATGGTTTCGTTTATGAGTAGTTCGCTTGCGGGGTATCGGGCCAATTCTCCGTGACTGACCGTCTGTCTGAGGCGTGATAAGTGTGCTGTGCTGACGTGAGTGACGAGTACGCCTTAGATCAGCCCTACAGCGTTGGCAGATCCGATGATAAACCCCCTATTGGGCCGACTGGAGAATACGAGCCACCGACCGGCGCCTCGGTACGCTGATCGGGCCAACCGATCGGAAGCATGTCAGCGTGCGAGTTCTGGGGCCATCGTGTCCTGGCCCCCTGCAGGGTTACACAAGAGCCTCCAGGGAACAAGGCTCTGGGCCCGGAGCA